GTTTTATTTGCACTCCAGTGGTCAGCATGGTTAGTCTCTTACTAGTTTTCTAAGTTAAAGTGTCTGTAGTAAATATAAATGTTGAATCACAATATAGAGTTGTCTTATTTACGTAATGAAAAGCGTTCAGTCACCATAACCGATGCACAAACCTATGTATTCTATATGGTATAAATGTGTTTAGATGTGATGTATTGACCTTCAAGTAATATTATTAGGATTGTTTTGAGACAATCTCAACTTGATTGTAGATAGAGGCGGCTGCTGTGAAATAAATGTAATCAAGACAAACAGTTCTTCACTTCTCGGAGTGGATCAGACACCTAAACCATAAGCACATGTGTCTAATTCTGCTCATAGAGGGCCACCAAAGCCACTAGAAGGCAAGCCTGCAACCTTTAGCCAGAAAAGCTAACGCTGCAGCGCAGGGAAGGAGAACAGGGGCCTCATGTATATAAACGTTTTCCACGCACGTATCTGGGTTTATACAAATAAACTTGGCGTAAATGTGCGCACCGTACGGATGCTCTTGACTGTGCGAACGCACTCTTTTCCTGGAGTGAGAAAAGTAATGAAGTAAACAAGGATTTTAAACTCTGTTTTCATTTCGATATACACATTTACGTTAAATATTCCACTCTCATTAATGGAGATGAGCACTGAAATTATTTCTGGAGTTCCTTATTAAATTAACAACAATGAGCGATCACATTCGTCCAGATGAACTTTTAAGAGCAAGCATGTGTAACTTGAACTAGGACTCCATCAAGAATAGACCAAACTTTTTCAAACCCACGTCTTTTACTATTTATGAAACACATTTGTTTTTTTCCCCCAGACTGAAACCCCATCTTCATTAGAAGACTTTGTCAAGCAGGCCTACTCATGACCACCCTTACAAGAATTGATCACATTTCACTGTAGTAACATGATGCAGTGGTAAATAGTGACTGAAGCTTCCTATAAAAATGTTTAAATATTTTAACTTTAATCTTCACTGTTTTTAATGTTCATATGTGATTATCACAGTCATTAATATAAAGACCTTCTTACCAGGGCCTTATATATAAAGCCACTCAGAGTAAAATTTGAAGTGTGTCAATTCTAAGAATGATTCTGATTCCTGGACTTAAAGGGCTAGTTCACCCAAAAATGAAAATTAGCCCATGAATTACTCACCATCAAGGCATCCTAGGTGTATATGACTTTCTTCTTTCAGATCTGAGCTATATAAAAAAATTGTCTTTGATCTTCCAAGCTGTTTAATGGGAGTTAGTGGGTGTTGCAGTGCATCAGTCCAAAATAAGTGAAATAAAGCACATCCATCCATAATAAAAAGTGCCTCACAGGGCTCTGGGGGTGAACAAAGGCCTCCTGTAGCGAATCGATGCATTTCTGTCAGGACCACTATTGTCAAAAATGATTGACAATCAGCATACAGTTTGTATTGGCGGTATGGTTCTGTTCTGGGCAAGAACTCCCTGCGCATCCATGCAGCCTAGCATGGATGAGAGTAGGGAGAGCAGCAATAACCCCCCAGGGTAAACAGAACAGAACCAACATAAATGTATTGCAGATATTGTTAAAGTTCAATAATTTTATGTACACATTTTAGAATAAGTCTGATTCAAAGGAGAATCAGAAGGCTGAATCCCGACTGACAGAGGAGGAGTTGGGGATGGTGGAGGGTAGTTATCTATTGAGCAATGCGAAAACTGCTGATAATACTGAGGGACCTTATATATGAATGCTTAGATAGGTGTCATATTCCCATAGGTGGATGGGGATCATCTGAGAGTCAGCTGATGCGAGCTTGACTAACGTGACCTGCCAGAATTAACCTTACGCTTGATTTTTGTAAGAAAAATATTCATATTCAAAACGTAATAATGACTTTAATCTAGCTTGAGCCAACAGTTGTACACGGAAGCAGCTCCAGGCGGATGACGTATGAGGTCGGCGTTGCGCATGTGCTATTCAGAAGTGACGCACGCGGAAGCACAGCGGAGAGATCAAAACAAAGCAGCGGTCACGAATTAGAAGTACAAATCGATGATTTGTAAAGAAGAAAGTCGGAGGATTTCGATATAAGCCAAGAGGAGACTGGTTTTCCCCTGCTAAAGTAAGGAAACTTTGCTTCCTTTGATCCTGTAAACAAACATTGGTTTTCACGATTCTCACCGGTGCATACGCAACGCCGACCTCATACGTCATCCGCCCGGAGCTGCTTCCATCAAGATAGTCAATTCCAAAAGTGATGTGCGGACAGCGCACGCGGAAGCACAGCGGAGAGATCAAAACAAAGCAGCGGTCACGAATTAGAAGTACAAATCGATGATTTGTAAAGAAGAAAGTCGGAGGATTTCGATATAAGCCAAGAGGAGACTGGTTTTCCCCTGCTAAAGTAAGGAAACTTTGCTTCCTTTGATCCTGTAAACAAACGTTGGTTTTCACGATACTCACCGGTGCATACGCAACGCCGACCTCATACGTCATCCGCCCGGAGCTGCTTCCATCAAGATAGTCAATTCCAAAAGTGATGTGCGGACAGTTTTTTTTTTTTTGAGCCTACATTTCGCTTAAACCATCCAAAATATGAGGAAAAAACACTGACTGGTGTTGCCAACTCCTTTCAATTGGAAGTAGCTAAAACTGGTCTCTAAATGTGGCTAGATGACATCATAATGGCGAGTTCACTGATCTATATTAATATAAAATATAGACAGTGGGAGAGTCTCGGAATCTAGAAAAGGTTTGTCCAATGTCCAATCATCTCGTCACAGTTAACATCATCCACTTTTCGTTTAATTTAATTTCCTACTATATTGGAGAGTAATGAAGAGGCACGTTGATCCGTCAGCAGTGTTGGGAAGGTTACTTTGGAAATTGAATAGGTTACAGATTACAAGTTACCCTATTTAAAATGTAATAGTAGTGTAACTACTTCAATTACTTTATTAAAGTAATGTAACTGATTACATTTGAATACTTTTTGATTACTTTTCTAAATTTTTAAGAAATATTTTCAAATGTTATTTTCATTTTCAAACATTTAAAGCAGTCACGGTTAACTTTACAGTAGGACTCAACACTAGTTAGTATCAGACTTTCAAAATCCTTCTTCACTTGAATTAAGATAAATGTTTAATTTAAAGCACAGCCACCACAAAATCAGATTTTAGCAGCTATGTTTACTTTAAGATCATTCTGCGGTTAAATAGAGATTTATGATCATAAGATATAGTTTATTACTAGCTTTTTGAAATCAAAATATTTGCATAGCCATGACAAAAAAAACTGTTAATCTTTAAAAAAAAATAAAGCATATACATAAACCCAAACAGGAAATAAAACAGTTATTGAATAAGCATCTGTCCTATTCTGTGTTCTAAACTCCTGAAACATTGGTCTCTCATATTTTAGAGCAGTCGATGCAATTTGGGAAAGAAATAAATCAAATCTGTATGTGTGTGAAAATATTCAGATGTAACCCCCTTTGTAATCTTTAACATTTTCACAAGTAACTGTAATTTAACTACACATTTTTTCTTAGTAACTGTAACAGATTACAGTTACATTTATTTTGTAATTAAATTACGTAATTCCGTTACATGTAACTAGTTACTCCCCAACACTGTCCGCCAGTCATACTCTAACGTACATACGTACATACTCTAACGGCAGATCTGTCATGCCGAGAACTCTGGGTTGTGGGCAATATTTGCCGTTAGAGTATGTACGGATCTGCACTTCAAATTTCCACCGGAAGTAGTAAACCATCTGGGTACATTTGGAATACTTATTTCAAAATACTACGATTTGGAACACACTAATTTACTTTTTGAAACCGCTCTATAATGTATTGTGTTAATGCTTCTGTAAAATAAACTGATTCTGTTGCACAAGGCTGGAAAGTATGCTTCTATTTTTGAACCAGTAATCAGAACAAAGAGCAGTTGAAGGACGATGTGCAAAACTGAACTGTTAATCTGACTCCATTAGTTGCACATGAGTCCTGTTAAGCAAATGGATTAGATGATTAATTCACGTGTATTCTTTTTTAAAGTGATTTCTGGTGTACTGGGATAGTAAAGAGTTGCACCCGTATTCACTCAACCCTACACACATTTATCACTTTAAGTAGCTTTGAAGAAAAGCATCTGCTAAATTGTCACAACACTTACAGATAATGTATTGTGTTAATGCTTCTGTAAAATAAACTGATTCTGTTGCACAAGGCTGGAAAGTATGCTTCTATTTTTGAACCAGTAATCAGAACAAAGAGCAGTTGAAGGACGATGTGCAAAACTGAACTGTTAATCTGACTCCATTAGTTGCACATGAGTCCTGTTAAACAAATGGATTAGATGATTAATTCACGTGTATTCTTTTTTAAAGTGATTTCTGGTGTACTGGGATAGTAAAGAGTTGCACCCGTATTCACTCAACCCTACACACATTTATCACTTTAAGTAGCTTTGAAGAAAAGCATCTGCTAAATTGTCACAACACTTATATATTTTTGCTGTTTTGATTGCTTCTATTGTCCTCATTTGTAAGTCGCTTTGGATAAAAGCGTCTGCTAGATGATTCAATGGAAATGTAATGTACATACACATTAATTAAGGTAAAATATCACATCTCTAGAATAAGCTCAGCTGATCTAATCTGTTTATTAACATTACTAGCAGTGTTATTTGAGTTTAATGCCTGAGAAACTGTTTCTGTTTGTTCTGCAGGTGTGAAGTCAGTGCCAGTGATGGAGGGAGATTCTGTGACTCTAAACACTGATTTTACTCAAATACAGGGATTTATTCTGATACAGTGTAGGTTTGGAGATCCAGTCATTGCTCTAGCTGATAATGATAAGACCACATATCCCAGTCACACTGAGATATTCATAGACTGCTGCTGGATAATCAGACTGGATCTCTGACCATCAAGAACATGAGAACCAAACACTCTGGACTTTATAAACTACAGATCGACCACAACACTGGGACCACACATAGGAAATTCACTGTCACTGTCTATGGTGAGCTATATTTATCTTTAAATATCTTTGAATTATTGAAAATAATGAGATGTTTCTTTTTGTTTATGAATTAAACTAAATGAAACTGATATTTAAAGAACAGCCAGCAAACATTACTTGTAACGTGTTCAGCAATCTTATGGGATTGTAGTATGAAAACTTTTATTAATCTGCATATGCCTTATGATTTATGAATATGAGTTTCGCAGAGTCTCCGTCTGTTATTGATGCTGGTGTAGCTGAAATGAAGCTCGTGTCATTGAAGGAGGGAGATCCTGTCATTCTTCAGACTGATGTTCCTCAACTACAAGGAGATGAGCTGATAGTGTGGAGGTTTGGAGATGAAGGAAAACTCATAGCTAAACATGATATAGAGGCCAAGAGCTCACCATTATATGATACTGATGAGAGATTCAGAGACAGACTGCAGCTGAATGACCAGACTGGATCTCTGAGCATCACAAACACCAGAACCACAGACTCTGGACTTTATAAAGTGAAGATCAGCAGCAACAAACAGACTTTATACAAGAGATTCATTGTTACTGTCAGTGGTGAGTAACTCAATTGTTTTAAAGTAACGATTGTTTATCAGCTCTCTGTGAATAATTCAATTGATCTGACATTAAAATATGTGAACCACAGCAGTATTCCTCAAACTATGCATGTGCTGTTTTATAATAATCAAAAGAATGGTTTGCCCTGTATCTGATGATATTCAGGCTGATGTTCTTGATCTGCTAATCAAATGTAAATGACAAATTGTAAATGTGATATAAAGCACCTTTGTATTCATGCTAAAGTACTTGCCTGATGAATTCGCCATACTGCACTAGTATTTTTTGCACTTTTACTCAACTCTGTATTTAAAGAAATGTGATATGATACCACATTGTGTTGTGCCTTGTATTATTATTATTCACTGCTATTTGTATTATTCTCATTTGTTAACCATTTGAATAAATGTTAATATAAATATACTGAGCTATCTGTGTATTTGATCTTTCTGTCTGATCATTACTGTAGTGCTCAAACACTGATTTAGTTGTTAAACAAACGTGGATATATATATATTTTTAATCTCATTAAGTTGTGTGAAATCTGTTGCTTCACGCTGTATGCTCTGTGACAAAATCTTCAGAGGAAACGGAATCTGAACAGATATAGCTGTAATCTATCTTTGAGAGTTTGTGCAGTACATTAAACCACAATCTGACTGAATATGTTCCATTAAAAAAAACAGTAAAATCTAAATTATTAACATGCTGAACTCAATGGTCAATGAACTCATTGAAAACAATAGTCAAATACTCCACCATAAGCATTAACGTTTAATTTAAAGTTCTATCTTGGGGAAAAAAATATCTACCTTGAAAGCCATGAATGCAACAAAGTGCTCAAATTAAATCTTAATTAGAGGTAAATACAAACCAAGAGCGGTGTGGAATATAAAATGAAGAACTGACAAATGTTCACACATTAATTTTTGTGACTGTGTATCTTCTCATTTCACACACTTTCACAGTTTTATTTCCACTCCAGTGGCAGCAGCTTCTCAAAACGGAAATGGAAAACACCCACATCCATGATGTATTTGAGGTATGCCACCTTAAAAGATTTCTTTCCGTCTAATAGTTTTTCTTTTGAGCGGGTAGTGTCGCAAAAATTTAGTTTTTTTCTGCATTAAAGTGTCTAGTAAATATAAATGTAGAATTGCAATATGGAGTTATTCATCCCTTCTTAAAAGGGAACATCCATCCCTCTTTTAGGTCTGTGTTAAAAGAGAGCTGCCTGTTGTGAACTTAATTAAGCCGACTGCTGTAGCCTATATCCAGCTTAGGCTGTTTTCCCTAAATTTGTATATATACTGTTTGAATGACAGCTTGCTAAATCTGTTGGTGATCAAATATTCAATATCGCTACTCATCATAAGTACTTGGTACATTATCAGCGCAGCAGCAGACGTTCAAACTAATAGCACATAATTTACGTCTCTGTGATGATTGGTTGATATCAGAAGGGAGGCTAGCCTCCCTTGCAAGGGTTCTTTTCTCAACACTCTTCAGCGCTGAAAGTGAACACTCGATGCTGATTGGCTAGTTTTTTTTTTACCAACGGCGGCACAAGAGCTCAGCGCTCGCTTGGGCTCCCCCTCCCCTTCTCTATCACCTTGCGATTGTAATTACATCAGCACATTCACGATAGAAAAGCTGCGCTTTCACGTTATGATATTACAACTGTGAAATTACAAACAAAAAATACACATTCTGAGACATGACCTGAAATGAATTGTGAATTTTATTAACATTAAATCGTCCTCCTCCCATTTTCACCTCAAAATCATGGGGAAGCTGTGCCTCCCCGTGGTTTTTCAGGCAATGCGAAAAAGGAATAATTCGCAAAACTGCAATGGAAACGGCTTTTTCGCATTTACAGGTCACATGGCGTATGTAAAAAGTCATATGATCATCCTTCAATGTACTATAACCTCCAAGAAACACTTCATAAGTGGCAGCGCTCCAGTATAAGGGGCTTTCCCTACCATTAATGCTTACACAATTTACACTGCACACGTCTGCGGTGCAGTGTGGCTCTGATACGGTCACTGAAGCTGATTGCGGCCACTCAATGCTT